CTTGCACTGAGAGGAGTGTGAGAGCCACTAATAAATAGTAACTCAAACCTAGACTTTTATATATTAATTAATTAATGAGTAATTGTTGCAATATGGAAACCAATGAACAATAGATGAAAACTTAGTAGACAATTAATACACAAAAACCTAACATTAGAGAACTAATTGGCAACAGATGTAGACCCAACAAACAATAGATGAACACATAGGATATAGAGTAAGAGAGTGGGGTAAAAGAATGATTTTGGAACTTCCCCACTTGCACTTGGAGGAGTGTGAGAGCCACTAATAAATAGTAACTCAAACCTAGGCTTTTATATATTAATTAATATAACTCTCAATCCCAGCTATCCATAGGGGTGGGCAACGATTCGATTTACATCAGACCGAATCGACTCTCACACCGAATCGAATCAAACTGTTTATCTTTCGATTCGACTTTGGTTCCTGAATTTGGGGCATTTTCGGTTTTGGTTCGGTTCATCCCGAAATCGTAAAATCAAGCTAAGGACCGGACCGAATCGTAATTTAATTAATTGCCTATTTTATTAGGCTCTAAGAAGGAAAGTCGACTTGGAGTTGAAAACCATAGTACACTACATGCTACTTAATTACCTATAAATATGATTGACTTTTCCTGACTTTGACTCGCCACTCCCGCTCCTATACTCCTACTCTCTAATCAGAATTCTCATCCGCGTTGCTTCGATCAATAGAGCTGCTTACTTTACCTACACACTGTGAACCATGTTCTCTTTTCTTGTTTAATGTTTCAGATATGGAGAAGATGCTAATAAATGACACCACAGATGCTTCTGCCAAGTCTGACAACACCACTGTAAATTAGCAAGTTTAAGAATCAATTGTTTTATTGCACTAGTTCTTGGAGTAAGTGTCATTTTGTTAAACTCCTTTCTAATGAACAGTGGAAATTATGGAGATTGGGAGGTCTAACGTGCAGTTTGGAAATGAAAATGGAAGATTAGAGAGGCAATTAGTTAGACTACTTTGAGATTGAATAAAAGACTTTTGTCTTTTAGTTAAGTAGTTCTCGTTTAGCTTTTTGCATAATATTTTGGAACTTGTGGGTTTTAAGAATTGTGGAGTATTTAAATTGGGATAATTTGATTACTTCTTTTATCTAGTTACATTTTTTTTAATTGTTGTGTTGTCCTTTAAAAGTGATTTTATTCGAATGACAGATTAGTAGGTTCAATGGGATGGTCCAGACCGAATCGAGCCATATATGGTTTGATACAGACCGAATCGAAGTAATAACAATTTGACTTTGGTCCTTGATTTAGAAGAATTTTTGGTCCGGTCCGAGGATAGTTTGGTCCGGTCTTGGACCGTATCGACTGATGCACACCCCTAGCTATCCATAACTTATTCGGTTATTTCTTACTAGTTTTTTGGCCCGCACTTCGCTGCGGGAGAAAATTAATTATCTCTAAAAATGCATTCACTCAAATGAAAATTTAATGAAAATCAAACAATTCATAAAATAGATTGTGTAAGATACATCCATAAGGTTTACATTGCGTCCATAAAAAATGATACATAAGAATAACTATCACTTCATAAATTTTACTTAATGCACTGTTTTCAGGTAATTGTTAGATAATGATGTTATGTACATCTCTTGTGATGTGTTATATAATATAAATCAAGTTATGAAATATATCAAATTTGATTAAACTGTTGTGTGCAAAATAACTAATTTTACAGAGCCTTTTTGTAATGCAAGTTGATGACATCGTCAACAATTTAATTAATAATAAATAAATTCATGGTCAAACTTATATTACTAAAAAAATACGTAATATGTTTAACTGATACATAATAAATAACTATCACTCACTATATGTAGTGTCTTGAACATTGTCAAAAACTTACATGATACATTTTGCTTAATTTGTACATGAGAAATTAATATTTCTCTATAAATCCTACGCAATGTATTTGTAATTTACGTAATGTTTGATTCATATAAAATGATTATCCTTTCATAAGTTTTACATAATGTATTTCTAATACTTATATCTTTCATAACGTGAAAGGAATTCTTAGCAAAGAAAACAAAGTATCTAGACAGACTATAAAGGAAATATAATTTATAGTGAAATTGATTGTTAATGGTTGAGAAATAAATAAATTTTTTATACAATTTGTATAAGGGAAAATGATTTATAGTAAAGTTGGGTATAAGGGATAACAAAATAAGTGAATAGTACACAGGAAAAAGAAGTTTCTAATAATATGCTCTATTGTTAGTAATGAACAATTATTTTAACTTGTGGTTATATATTCATACAGTTATTTAGCCGGCATTCCATGTTGTGGATGTTTGCTTTGTTTTGTTTCAATATATTTGTATTATTTTTATTGTACTTGTAAGTTCTAAGTGCTCCACCCTGATATATGTAAAAATAGAGTTTGTATAAGAAACCATTCATTTAATCATCGAAACACATCTTTTTCAGTAAAAATTGAATTGTTCCTTATGAGTATCATATACTTGTTCATGAAGTGTTACATACTTGTACTTGTCATCGATATTTTTATATACAATTTTTTTTAATTACATAAATTAGGATGAAATTTAAGTTTGCATATCATTATACTACATTGTTGAAAAGAAAACTCAAATAATAAAATTTAGGTTCCCAATTTATTGCAAGAAACCATTAGTATTTTATTTTCGTCAAAAAGAAGAACATCAAAATAGATTGTGGATCTTTAATTTTGAATTTATCTAAAATTGGTTATTGTGGCTTGATCTGGTAATTCAAAAAAATTTATTATCAAAATTTTATAATCATGAAGTAAACAATTTCTTCAAACATACAATGTTGTTAACACTCTTAAAATTTATAATTTATAGTGTATGTATGAATTGCCAAAATCAAACCAAAGAAACATATATATATATATATATATATATATATATTTTATAGTGTATATATGTGTTTTAATTTATCATCTAAAAAATAACCCATGAATAGACTATATATTATTCCACAAACCAAACCATGAATTCGTGATTTAGAGATGATTGAAAAGTTAAGAAAGAAGGAAAGTTTCTTCTATCACCCCTCATCCAATAAATAAAAAATTAAATAAGAAATTTATATTTGGGGAAGACCCAATTTAGTCGACATGTGTGTACATGTTACATAAAGGTGGCATTATTCAATTGCAAATGGAGACATGTGTACTCCATGCAATTCCATTCATAAAAAGGATTGATGTTCCCAAAAACTCATAAGAGAGGAGTAACCATATACATATTTACAACCCATCCATTCTATTCTCAATGCTTCATCTCTCGTCCTCTCTTTCTACTACTCAACCACCGCCGTTGTCGTACGTGTTGATTGAGCGGGCAAAAGAACACCATATGGCCGGCTTTGCTTTTATAGTTGTGACAATTCGGTTAGTCTGTCCAATTTTCCAATGGCACATATAAGAAAGGTTCTACCCTCCCAAGGCTTCTATTTGATTTTGCGATGGTGGGGAACCCTTGTTTCTGTAGAGAATAAGCTTGCAATTTCGATTTGCATCTTCTTCCGGAAACTATTAGGGTTCAAAGAGGAAGCCTTCAAGCGATCTTTTCCATCTGCCCCTAGCTCCGGCAACCGCACGTTCAATTTCTTCTTGTTGATCTTCTTCTATCTCCATCGGCTTGACTTTAGATTCTCCATTTGAGGTTGGACGAAAGACTTAGTTAGGAAAGAGATCTTTTTTTTGTCATAATAGGAAAACACGATTGCTATTGGTAGAGAAATGGATCGAATGATTTGTACTCTCTGGTTCTCCGGTTGAGATTGGACGAGGAAAAAAATAGGCTGGAAAGAGATCTTTTGTTCAGAATAGGGAAAGATAATGAATGGGGGAAAAAGGGATTGTGGAGACACGATTTGTTTGCAAGGGACAGTAAACGCGATTTTTGGTAATTCTTGGGAACTTGAGCCTTAATTATTCTAATAATAATAATAATAATAATAATTATAATCAAAGTCTTGGACGTCATGTGTTTATTAACCCTAACCCATTGTTTTCCACGCAGAGTACCTATTGGGCGCGACTCGTCGAGAACATTGAGATTGATCCGCGTTTAGCTACTGACAGAAACACAAACATCAGGAGACCAGCAGGCAGGACCCTGCAGGCTGCAGTGAAAGAAACGGCAGATGTTGGAAGGAACTTGCATAGAAATGTACATTCCAATTTCCTTTCTGGTCAAAAACTTGAGTCCAGAATCTATCAGTCACCAAATTCGTTTTGCTTTTAGGTCGTACAAGCGGGTAGGCAGTTTGACTTGAAACTCAAGAACCAAAACTGGCGGCAATATGTTAATGTTCCAATTCTCTCCATCATTATATATACACACACATCAGAACAAGAAGAAGCAGGAAAGAAACACACCAACACAACACAATAAGCTACCTGGTGCCAAAATGAGCTCTTCTGATGAACGCAAATGGATCGCTATTTCCATCGACAGCAAACCAGATAGCGATTCTGCTGCTGACCCTGCAGACATTCTTCAGCAGCGTAGTAATATCGTCCCAATCCCTTCCTGCATCTTCAAAGTCCCAAGAAGCCTCTCCACCTCCTCCTCCAAGCCTCAATACTTCTCCCCTCAGATCATCTCCTTTGGGCCATACCATCATTCAAGGCACGATCTTCTCCCAATGCAACCCTTCAAACTCGCCTTGGCCAAATTCGCGCTCGCTAACTCCCAATTCCCTCCACCAACTTTCCTAGAACTCGTCCGAATGCTCGAACCACTCGTCCCGGATATCCGCCAATGCTACCGCGATCATCTGACGGCGGACGACTCCACCGTGGCAGAGATCATGGCCGTGGACGGGCTTTTCCTCCTGGAATTGTTCTGCTTTAACGGCGGGAACCTCCCCAGTTTTGGGAATAGCAGGGTTTTCCTCAGCTCGCAATCCAGGCGGCGAATTGAACTTGGGTTCTACAGAGATGTGATGATGGTCGAGAACCAGATACCCATTTTCGTCTTGCAAGACATCGCCACGACGATTGGCGGGAAATACAAATCATCGGGCGTACTGTCTTCGGGTTTGATTCAACTTTGCCGGAGATTCTCGCCGCTGGAGCTTAAATCGAGCTACCCGCTGCCGGAAGTAGACGATGCCGAGCCTCTCCATCTGTTGGATCTGCTTTACAATCTAATTCTCCTGAAACGTGTCGAGAAGAATGAGGAGGAGGATCCGGATCCTCAACTCGGGTTTCTGGAATCCGTTTACCATCTAAAACATCCTTTGGTTCTCGCCTTCTTATGGCCCGTCAAACATCTCTCCCTCTTCGTCCCCAAAATCCTGTCCGCCATTCCAATACTCAACAACCTAATAGATCTCAATGTGAAGAAGGTGGCAGCGCCAATCATCTCATCGGCGTCCGAGCTTAAAAGGGTTGTGGTCAAATTGCAGGCGGCGTCAGGGAGCGTCAGGGACATTAGTTTCAGGAGCAGAACTCTGGCAATCCCCAAGTTCACGTGGAACCCTATCTGCCAAGTGATCCTCCAAAACCTCGTGGCCTACGAATCCATGGCGAAATACGAAGAGGATACTTTGATCCTGACCCAGTACGGGAAATTGATGGACGGGCTGATTAGGAGCGAGGCGGACGTGGGATTGCTTAGAGAGGTGGGGATTGTTGTTTGTGGAGACCAAGACATTGTGGATGTTGTGTCGGCGTTCAGTGGGATAGGGGAATCTATAGGGATAAAGGACAAGGGGCTTATGGGAACGGTAAGGGATTTGAGGATCTTCCATGCCAATAGCCATAATTTGAGGACGTTTTTCTGGGTTTGTGTTGTGGTTCTAGTGGTGGCAGCCATTGTGGAAGTATACTCTCTGGAGAAAGCTCCGTCGGGCTCGACCAAACCGATATTGGGATTAGGAAGACGAGTTAATCCCGCCGGCTCCTGGCGGTCCAGCAAAGTCTTGGCAGCGATAATCCAGTCGTTTAAGATCATTAATTTGGCTGGACCTTTCACTACTAAGTCCACCATTTTAAGCCACTAAATGTGTTGTTCTATTATGATTTATGAAACCTAGAGCCAAATAATATAGAGGTCAATTTGTTCCACATTTTTCATTAAATATTTTAAATTTGTATTAGTGATTTTCAATGATCTCTAACTTTATATTTGTGTTATCTTTGAATTGTCACATCCTTGAGATACCTACACTCTTAGCTTGTAAGTTGTAACCTTAGTGGTCCACCTAGGGCTGTCGGATATGGTTCGGGTAACCGAATCGAAACCGAACAAACCCGGAAAAGCGAAACCCGTTTTGTTTGCAAACCGAATCCGAACCCGATTAGGAAAGTTTCGGGTTTCTGGTACCAAAATCCGAAGATTTCCTTATCGGGTTCGGTTCGGTTAGACTGAAACCAAACCCGAAATTAAAGCACTCATGACGTGTCAAACTCCATTAGTTGACCAAAAGACTTGTTACCTTAGCTGGCGTCTATATGCATGGGATTAGCAAGTATTATGATCAATTAATCTAGGTAATTATGATCAATTAATGGCGAGATCAATGGGATTAGCAAATGGGAGTAATAGAAACAAAACGTATAAAGCAAGTGGGATTAATATAGTAATTAGTAATTAAAGACTATGATTTCGAAACGTCACTATGGGAGCCCAATTAGTGGATTCGGCTAATCACTGACAACGTATTTATAGTAGTCAACCCATTGGAATGATAAGCATTAGCAATATTTTTTTAGAAAGTCATTAGCAATATGATTTAATTGCTTACCCTTTTTCCCATGCCCGATTAATATAGTAATTAAAGACTTTATGGTTTCAAAACGTCACTATGGGAATTGGGAGCCAATTACTGGATTTCGATTTTGCGGGTTCCTTATCGGGTTTGCGGTTTCACCGAAACCGAAACCATTACAACACCTTTCGGGTTGGAACTGGAAAACCCAAAGCCATCAGTTTCCTTGTCGGTTCGGGTTCGGTTTAAACCGAAAACCCGAAACCGAACTCCCACCCCTAGGTCCACCTGCTTAGCGCCACTCAAGTGGACTTGACTACCTCCACCTACCAATCGGGATCGTACTGCGAGTGTAGAGGGGAAGTGGTGGAGGCGGCAGCCGTAGTAAACCCGTCGTTGGATGTTAGCAAGACAAGCACCGCATACATGTTTTTGAAGATCCAGAGGTTCTGAAAGCTCGTCCTTCGGAGCAACAACGACGACAAGGAGAAATTCGCTTTTGCTCGTTTACCTTATGCGAGCGCGTGCTTGAACGAAGGATGGATATGGACGAGGCGAATCGTAGACGGCTCTGAGGCTTGAACTTTTGGTGAAGTTGCTTGTTATGGTTCTACGAATTAGGGACTTAGATTTTGTATAGGTGGTGTGCGGATATGAACTTGATCGATGAATTGCATGTTTGGTCCTTCAAATTAGTAATTTGTTGGTTGCTTACTGAACATTCATTGTCATCAAACTTCTTTGACATAATAGATTTTTTATGACACGACGAATGAATGTCATAAGTTGACAAAAAAAAACACTAATGAGTCCAGTAAGGCGGCGACCTTGCATTAGCAGGTGGAACCAGCGCATGATAATTAACTGTACTGTGAAGTCAAATCATCGTTGAAAACCCCAAATATAATTCTCGTTGAAAAATGACGCCTCCAGCAGTTTTTTTGACGATCTAATCTACCTCAAGTCGCCGAAATAAAAAACCAATAAGACACCCAACCTCCTCTTCCTTTAAAGCACCTTCGCCTGCATTTTGGGGAGATTTGCTTCCGGCCAACTTTCGGCGACCTCCTCCGGTCACTTTTTCAGCCGGATTTTGACTCCCTCGCCTTCCTCTTGGACCTTGCTTGTGTCTCCAGAAGTGTTATTGACTTTTACCTTGTTAGGAGAATTGGACTTTTGATTGAAATGATAATTGATTGCACGTAGCTAGAGTGTTTGATCACTCGTTTGTGACTTGGTGGGAAATTGTTTGCATGTTCTTGTTTTTAGAACTGAAACTGCCCACCAAGTGTTTGCATAACTACATAGTCTTCATACCATCTTGTGCATGTTAAATGGTTTCCATCGAGGCATAAACTAGGCTTTCTATTGCAACCTACTTCATCTATGAAACACCTAGTTTCGTGCCTTTATGTGTTTATGGGATGATTGTGTTTATTTGGTGGTACTCCGTCCTCGTCAAAAGATTATGTCGACTTGTCACTTAGTTTGGAAAACAAGTGTGGGGGAGTGAAGTTTTCTCCTCAATGTTGCAATTTCTGATGATATTTCTACATATGGTGACTATTTGGCTTTGTGTATTTGCACGTTAGTCGAACAAAATCATGAGTATATCTTGCCTTTGGTGGACCAAACCACCTATGACGGAAATTTCGAGTCATGGAGAGGTGGAGACATTGCCCCCCCCCCCCACCCCCCACCAGTGCCTACATTTGGACATCTTCGCCGATCTCAGTGCTAGGTTGCTATCTCAAAAGCCATTGCACAACCTCAACCGCGCTAGTTGCTTAGTATAGATACGAAGTTCATGGTCATCCTTATCTTGAAGGGACCATTTTTGTGGGACCAAGTACCATATCAGAACTACAAGGAAATAACTTTTGTATATAAGTTTCCACCCTCATAAGTATGAGGCTTTTTGAAGAGGATACCCAAAAGTAATTCCTTGTAGGCTTGGCCCACTACAAAAAATATTATACTAATGGAGCTACCCGATTCCAACAAGTGATAACAGAGTATGGTTTGGATCCAAGGAACTGGATGTCAATTTGGTTGAACCTCATTTGGTGATCTCAAGATTTTAGATCCTAGTGTTTTTTTGGATCAATTGGAGATTTGCGTTTCTATAGTGTATCAAGGAAAATCTTAATATGGTAAATCCTTGTGTCAAAGAGCCTATGGATACAAGGTGTCTAGGATACCAACATTATCGATAACGGAAAGATCATAGCCTGGTTTGGATTTGGTCCAGGGCGACGGACGTCAATTTGATGGACTCTCATTCAGTGACTTTGGAATTTTAGATCTGTATTTTTCTGACGAATGAAAGAATATCTACGTTTTGTCCGCAGATAAAAGGATATTTGCATTTATTTGGTGAATTCAAGGAGATATTGTTGTGTTTAGCGAATCAAAAGAGATATGCGACTATCTGGTAGATCAAAGTTATCTACATATGACAAATCTTATGTCCAAGAATTATCGATACAAGGTGTTTGGCGAATCAACATAACCGATGAGGAGAGGACACGAAGTTTGTGGTCCTTGTTTTAGGGAAGATTGTTACGAGACATACAAGGCAACACCCTTGCATACTAGCGTCATAAATTTTTTAGTATAAATCCTTTGACATATGAGGGAATTCTCTTTGACAGAGCGGATATTTTGAGACCAGTAGGGGGAATATTGTTCGCTAGGTTTTCGTCTATGGCTTTTTGCACAAATCATCGCATTTGTCCACCATTTTGTAGCCCATCTCGAAATACTATTGGCGGAATCCTAACTCCTAAGTTGTTCCCCACCATCATTTCCCAAGACTGCTACCACGAGTTTTGTATCAGGGCCGAGTTTGCTTAGTCTAGGCAACTCAAGACCAATTACAAGAACTTGAGATGTTAGCTCTAGGCAACTCAAGATTATTTGTTTAGTTTCTTTGCCCTAAATTAAATAATAAAATCTAATTTATATATTTAATTGTTAATTGCAAAGGTAATTAATTATGTATTCGGGGTACCGATTGGGATACCGAAATTATTTAGGGATTGGGATTGTGATTGATTTTAGGTTATAATTCGGTATTCGAGATATCGATATTTGGTATTGGCATACCGATACCATACTGATTTCCACCCCTATTTACCACCATCCACTCTACTCTACATGTGTACATGAGATGAGAAGGCACAATATTGTAGGTAAGTTTGCGTTTCTTTATTTTTTTACACTCAACCACTCATTGCACATAATCAGATTGGTGGAGATAATTTATCTTTCTTTACCCGACCATCCATTGTACTTAGGGTTGGTAGATAGATTAATATATTTTCATATATTCTTCACATGCCATCCACGTAAGAAACAGGAGGCACCTATAAATAGGACGCTCAACTATATTTTCTCGGCAGTTGATTTTTCGGGGAGAACTTCTAAGTCTCTCTATAGCAGGCTTACTATGCCGCTCCGGGTTACTCTCCTCTCAAATATTAACTTGAGCTTCGAAGAAGGTCCCCGTCGACCACCATCGGCGGGGTCCTCTTTTGTAGGTGTCTATCTCGGAGGCTGGCGGAGGACGTTCGCCAGGAGGAAAATCGACGCTCACCGGAGCTTAATCACGTTGAAGCAGGCTCCTCGAAGCCTGACATCAACAATTATTATTGTTATTATTATTTACATTAGTTTCCTTAGTCAATTAGGGTTAGATTGCTATATAAACTATCGTTCTGTCATTCGGCCGTATTATGGGAAGAGTAAACCCTAAAGTATTCATACGAGCACAGAACCCACGCTAGTAGTTATCAAAGTGACCCAACTTCAAGAAAGAAAAAGAAAAGATATTTTTATAGTTTTAGTTTATTTGGAATAAGATGGCATTAACAGTGCAATCTTAGCACAAGATTGGAGAAGGCTCTAACGATATAAAAAGTAGAAGCTCGACCACACTTAAGGGGAAAACTTAAGAAATTTTTTCAGAAATAGCACTGTTTAAAAAAAATTCCAAAAATAGCACCCAACTCCGAAAAATTCCAAAAATAGCACTATTTTTGTAAAACCGCAACCCGGAGGTGCGTTTTTCGATGAAAACCGCACTGGTAGGGAGCGGTTTTGCAAACCGCACCCTGGGGGTGCGATCTGCCTTTTTTTTTTTTGCAAACCGCACCCCCAGGGTGCGATCTGCTTTTTTTTTTTTTAAAAATCCTAACTTAGGTGGAAACTTCAAACGAACGTATCTTTATGTTCGGGTATCCGATCGTCGCGATTTTTTTTTGATTCCGCATAATTTTTTGAGATCTTGCAAGCCGCAAACCGCCGAAAAAATGTGGTTTGCTACCCCGAACGAGCCTTTTTTCGATTTCGTCAAACTTTGAACGACCATAACTTTGTGCTCCACAATCCGAAAATCATGAACTTTTTTTTGATTTTGCATAACTTTTTGAGGACTACAATTTTTTCTAGGAGAGAATTTTCAAAAAATGAATTATTTTGGATATACGGGGTTTTGGGAATAAGTTTACCTTTCTTTTTAGGAATCCAAGTACATTCCGAAATTATGTCTATGATAAAAATTTTAGTCCTCAAAAAGTTATGCAAAATCAAAAAAAAAAATCATGATTTTCGGATTGTGGAGCACAAAGTTATGGTCGTTCAAAGTTTGACGAAATCGAAAAAATGCTCGTTCGGGGTAGCAAACGACATTTTTTGGTTCGAAGGCGAGACCAAACCACCTTCGGCAGTTTGCGGCTTGCAAGATCTCGAAAAATTATGCGGAATCAAAAAAAAATCGTGGCGATCGGATACCCGAACATAAAGATACGTTCGTTTGAAGTTTCCACCTAAGTTAGGATTTTTCAAAAAAAAAAAAAAAAAAAAAAGGCAGATCGCACCCTGGGGGTGCGGTTTGCAAAACCGCTCCCTACCAGTGCGGTTTTCATCGAAAAACGCGCCCTCGGGTGGCGTTTTCATCGAAAAACGCACCTCCGAGTTGCGGTTTTACAAAAATGGTGCTATTTTTGGAATTTTTCGGAGTTGGGTGCTATTTTTGGAATTTTTTTTTTAAACAGTGCTATTTCTGGAAAAATCTCAAAACTTAATTGATACTGATCAGAAAATTCTCAAGGCTAAACTTCAAAGGCCAAAAGAAATATCAATATTCATCAAAGTCTAACCTAAAACTCGTGCTTAAGACTTTATATAGGTCAAAGAAACAAAAACTCGAAAAGGAAAAGAATCTCAAACACAAAAGTTAATTTTTAACTCGTCAGACAAATTTCCTTGTTAGTCCTCCAATTCCACGGTCTTGGAATTGATGCTTGTGTTCGTGGAATGCTACTGTTCAAAATCCACTATCTAGACTTCTGTTTCACGGTCGTGGAATTGACTTCCTGACCGTGGATTTTGACTGGTCACCATACGATCTTCAGATTGCTTGTTTGTTGTCCATGAAGCTTCGATATTCTCACCCAACCTCTTTATAATCTATAATTGAACTCATAATTCATGTCCAACTCCATTCTCCCATCAATTGTTTTACAAGATGAAGATACAAGCCTCCAAATAGGTATCATGACACTGTTTCCACACTTAATCATTTTTAGCTCGGTAATTCTCCATGAATTAATCACTTTTTTAACACTTGAGAATTAAAATTCTTAATGGCCAGCTTGCTGATGTATAATTTTTTCTCTGTACTTTAGCATAGAATAGGTGTATTTTAGCATTGAATAGATTAGACAGCTATCATTTTGTTACCTTGAATGATCAAAGGATTATACTTTGTCAACTGGCTGCGTAGTAGTAAGTAGTTGATGTGCTTGATGAAAAATATCATCTTTCTCCTCATTCTTATAATCTTATTCCTGAGTGATCAAGCGCGAAAACATGAAAATGTCACTTTACACCAACGCGAGCGCATTCTTATTGTTAAACTTTAAAGAAAGGTACCAGAAAACTGAGGGATGAATGTGTCTATCGGCATATATCATTGTGGGTTGGATGGCAGAAATGAAAAGTCGTCGGCAAGAACGCGTCGTGAGAGGCTGTTGCTTTTGTTTTTAAATAAAAAGGGAAAGGGGAGAAAATGGGAGAAAGGCAAAAAAACACAAAACATAAAGCGGGAAAATGAGAGGAAAGCAAATATAATTAGGAAGTATTTAAAGAAACCGGGAATTCACGTGTTGTCGTGTTGTTCTAGTCAAACAAACCCAATCTGCCCTCTCCCCGCCTATATATTTATTTATCTCTCCATCCAGCGCCTTTGTTTTACCTCTTCTTGAACAAATTATTCTTCCTTCTGCTCTCTCTAATCCAAGCCTCTTTCGTCTCTCTAAACTTAATCAGAGACACCATGACAGGCAGAGAAATCCTCCACAAAATGAAGGTCAGTTCGCCAAAGTCAACTTACTATTATGGGCTTCATTCTCTATCTTTTTGTCTTTTCTCCCCCTGAAACTGTGCTCTGTTCTGGCTCAAAATCGAAATGGTACCCATAATGGAAAAGGATCTCAAATTTCATCTTGGGTTGTTTGATTTCAAGTTAATGAATCGCTTATACACCTGGAGAACTGTGAGTAGCTGATTGTAGTTCAATACGTATGTCTTTCACCAAATCTCTGAACTTGTTTCCAGTTGTCGGTTGAAGTTGTAATTGTTGGTAAAACTTCTTACTGCTGGTTTCCAGTAATTGAAATTTTGGGTTATGGAAACAAAGAGAGAGAGGAGAGGAATGGTAACATGAATCGGATCGGGTAGTAGTTGCTGACAGGCGGATAGCAACTTTCTTTGACTGCTGTTCATGTTCAGATTCTGACTTCTTCTCAGAAATTTTCCACTGAATGGCTGGTGTAGTAGTTCTTTTTTGCCCTGATTTGTGAAAGGTGATGAAAACTTGACTGTTTTGATTCAAAAAACCTGTGTGGGTTAGTTGAAAACTAGAGAGTAGTTTCTTTATTAGAAGTAACTTTAGAGTACTGGTAGAAAATCTCATTTACACATTTATTTCGTTCTCGGCTGCCATTAACCTATTCCTTCTTCAGTTAGTCATTCAATGAGCTTGTTGGGTAACATCTATCTATTTAGTTGCTTTAATAAGACACCAAATCAGAAATCACAAGAAAACTTGTTCGTTGTGTGTTTCCTGGGAAAATGGGTGATCATGCAGGATATCAGGCAAGTAAAGCTTTTGAAGCTTTTCTGCCCATTGCAATGGTCACTGGTAATGGACTTGCGGATGTATACTATTTTACCTGGTAATAGGGATAACTGGATAAGGGATTGATTGTTTTCTGGTTAATTGGGTTTTCTTAGGTTAAAGCGATACAATGTGCATCTGGATCTGAAGCAACAGTGAAAGGTAAAGGCAAAGTGTCAAACCATGTTACTTATGGCTCTCACCTGGTGAAGGGGAAATCACATCATGCTATGGAAGACTATGTCGTTTCTGATCTCAAACATGTACACAACCATGACCTTGGCTTGTTTGCAATATTTGATGGCCATTTGGGCCATGATGTCGCAAATTACTTGCAAAACCACTTGTTTGATAATATCTTAAAAGAGGTACGATCATCTTGATTCTAATTGTTCCATATTGAAACTGTGCGGAATTAGTGGCTTGTTGTTTATAATTACTTTATTGCTGTGTAAATTGCAAAGCAGAAAGACTTCTGGACTGACACAGAGAGTGCAATAAGGAATGCATATAAGAAAACAGATGAGGAAATACTGGCGAAAGCGCTCACCTTGGGCAAAGGAGGATCCACTGCTGTCACAGCAATATTGATCGATGGCGAGAAGCTTGTAGTGGCAAATGTGGGAGACTCCAGGGCTGTGCTGTGCAGGAATGGCCTCCCCAAACAACTGTCGGTCGATCATGAACCGAGCAAAGAGAAGCGAATGATCGAAAGTCGGGGTGGTTTCGTATCAAACATTCCTGGTATGCAGCAGTTCTTCCCAGAATGGTGAATCAAATTTTGGGACAAGGTGAGAACAATTTGGCATATCGTTTGGTTGCAGGGGACGTTCCACGTGTCGACGGACAGTTGGCAGTGGCGAGGGCATTTGGTGACAAGAGCTTGAAGATACACCTCAGCTCGGAGCCTGACGTGTCTGAGGAGGCAGTAGATGATGAAGCCGAGTTCATCATTCTAGCAAGTGATGGCATTTGGAAGGCCGGTTCAGTTTCTCTTTAACTATTATATATGCTCCTCACCAACATTGATCTTGATGCAAAATGGTCACCAGCTTACTACATTTGTTAGTTCGGCAATTCATACAAATCCTCAAACCTTGGATATTGTTTGCAGGTGATGTCGAATGAAGTGGCAGTGGACTCCATCAAGGCGATAAAGGATCCTCAATTAGCAGCGAAGCACCTGATCGACGAGGCCCTTTCGAGGAAGAGCAAGGACGACATATCTTGCATAGTTGTAAGATTCCAATAATACACTGTATATATGGATCCCTGCAGATGGTGAAAAATCACCAGCTGTTGTTCTATTGTATCATGCATGTGTGTGTATTGCAACCCGTATAAAAGCTTCTCTTTTTTTGGATTTGGATGGCAGCTAGCTAGCCAGCCCCGTTTTTTTTGTTCTGCTATCCCTGTATAATTAAGCAAAATGGATCTCAGTTCTGTTCAAGTTCTCAACTTCTTTGGATGTAGTTAACGTTTCTGTTTTCCGGCGAGAAAACTAGCGTTGAAATCGAATTGGTTGCACCTTGACTTCTTTCGACAACGATCACTAACACGGCTCACACCTCTTTAAACAAAGTTCGAACGAGGGTGTTCGATGTTTAAACGAGACAGAAATCTACATTAAATTACCCTACTCCTATGGAGGTTCAATGAGAGCTCCAGATCTACGACTACGACTAAAATTGCAGAGGAAAGGATAAAGGGATAAAATTTGACATTGTATTGTCGGGTGTGAATTTAGCGAACCCTTTCTCTGTCAACTCCTCCTCTTATTTATATCTTTGAAGTGGTAACCGTTGTAGAAAAACCGACTAGACAGTAACTTCCAAAAAGAACTGCTCCCTTTCTTCCTCCGATGTGGCTGACGCGTCCTTGCACGTGGAATAACCAACAGCTGCTCTGTTAACCGCCTGCTCTCTCTCTCTCTCTCTCTCTCTCTCTCTCTCTCTCTCTCTCTTAGAAGTGACGTCTTTGTGGCTTTTCTCTCCGACATGGCCTGCTTCCTTACCTCCAACTTGCTAGACCACCTTGGTCTATCGAACTTGACGTCAACGTGGTATGTATCTCACAACCACATCGGTGTAGCGGACTTGATGCTAACGTGGTCTCGATCTCGTGACCACATCGGTGTAGCGGACTTGACGTCAATGTCGTCTAGATCTCGTGACGACGTCGGGCTCTACTATACTTGACGCAACGTAGTCTAGATCTCGCGACCACGTCGCGCTCTACTAGGCTTAATGCCAATATGGTCTAGATCTCGCGACCATGTCGGGCTAGTAGGCTTGATGCCAACGTTGTTTAGATCTCGTGACCACATCGGTGTAGCGGACTTGAGTTGACGCCGACGCGTTCTAGATCTCGCGACCACGTCGGGCTATTAGGCTTGACGCCGACGCGATCTAGATCTCGCGACCACGTCGGGCTATTAGGTTTGACGCTGATGCGGTCTAGATCTCGCGACCACGTCGGGCTAGTAGGCTTGATGCCGACGTGGTCTAGATCTCTCGACCAACTCGGGCTACCCAACTCGCGACGAGACTAGCTCCTTCCTGGAGACTTAGTGGTTTGAGCTTAAAAACTAGTATCATGAGGCCCAGTTCAAATAACATTAATTGTCATTAATGATCTGGCCTTATAAAGATAATAAATGCCTTGTAAATAATCAATGTGGTACACGATTATTTTTTAGGTGTAAACAGTTTCGCCTCAGCCAATTCTTATTTTGAAGATTGAACTAGTTAGTTGTGCTTATTTATGATCGCCGCTGCAATTTGCCGCAATTCAGGAATGGTAGTATTCTTTGCCCCAACCTTTTTTTTATATATACTATGGCCCAACTTTGAACTGAGCTGAGTGGTTTAAATTATGTCGTAACAGTTTCGAGTTTTTACCGTTTAGGTCATAGATTGGATCCTTAGGTCATGAAACAGGTTTGGCAATCATGCTTGACGACATTACTTAATCAGAAGATGGTGAAAACAAAATAAAACATCGGCTAGTTTTTTCTGTGACATAATTATTTTATTTATTGTTATTTTCCTTATTATTATTATGAGAATCAATCCTACAACTTATTGTCGTGAGATTTTCAGAGTTGAGGAAACAACTCTGGGACGTATCGCTCAAATCATTGGCCCGACACTTAATATAGCTTTTCTTTGGAGAAGATGTCTACAATGCTCTACTAGTTAAGAGTTGTTTTTTAGCGACATAGAACAATAAAATTAGTAGGTAACAGAGGATGTACGGAAAAGTTTGATCATTCTCTCGGTCTTAGATAGGGATGTCCTCTCTTACCCTATATTTATACCATTTGAATGGAGCATCTTATTCATATTATCTTAAGCAAAGTGAGGTTGGGCATTTGGAAACCTTTTCAACATTTTGAAATCCTCAGCTATCTCACCTCTTATTTACAGATGAATTAATTTTGTGTGTGTGGAGAGGGGGGGGGGGCGCAAAGGAATTAAGAAAGATTGTGATGAAGCCCTCACAACTTTCTGTAATGCCTCCGGCGAATTATAGACTAGGTTGTCTTCTCCCCTAACACAAGAGAAATACTTCTCGGACATCCCAACTACAACTAACCTTGGCCACATGCAACTAGGAATCCTGGATCTTTATTGAAGAGTGAAGAGAGAAATATACAGACATGTTATCGAGAAGATTGAGAAGAAGCTCTAGTTGGAAGATATAGAATATCTCCTATGCAATGCAGATCGCTAAGATCCATGGTCTGTGAGTGATACCGTTGACATGTCAATACGAGACTTTGTGTGGGGTGCCAAGAATGGTAAGTAAAAGGCCCACTTACTCTCATGGGAGAAAATATGGAAAGCCCCTGGGTGGGTTAGGACATCGCTCCACGCGTGAGCTTAATAAGACCTATATGATGACATTGGTCTGGTCCTTCATCAACTTGCTCGAGGAGAGGTGGGTCCGAGTGATGCAACATAAGTACTTCAAGAGGAGAGATGGGTGTGTGCAATTTTTGATGGGGAAGTGTCAGTGATGACTTGATATATACACACGTTTTGTCCACCATTCTCATACCGTTTGAGTCTTATTTTTCGTGTTTTAGGCCGATTTCATGCTAAGTTGTTCTTGTTTGTGATATTTCGGGTCCTAGTACATGAATGAAGGTTTGGGAACGAGTTCGGGGTCGATTGGACGAAGATTGGACGTTTGGCGAGAGGCTGAGGAAGCCACACGGGCACGCCTAAAATCCCACACGGCCGTGTGACTTGGCCGTGTGACATCATTTTGCACGGGCAAGCCACACTGGCCGTGTAGGGGACCCCTTGTGGCCGTGTGGAAAGTCCAGGGAGCTCACACTGGCAGCCTGGAAATCCACACAGTCGTGTGTCCCTGGCCGTGCGGCATGCCTGGAAGTCACTTAATCGAAACTCCACGTTTTGAGAGCCACACGGGCAGCTGGGATTTCCACACGGCCGTGTGGTCGGGAATTATTGGGTTTTAACCCAATTTCGAGCAAAAGGAGAGAGAATCGACTTTTTGGAGCAAAAACAGAGCCCTAGAGAGAGAAAGTTTGAAGAACACCCCCTAAGAGTGATTTTGGAGCTGGGTTTCGTCAATCAAGCTTGGAAATCACCCTTGGAGTGAAGATTATCATCCCAGAGCAGATTCTTCCCATTGTTATGGTTATGACTGCTTTTTATTCTGTTTCCCTCTCTTTCTCTATGGAGTAGAACCTTCTCTCACTTGGGTATGAAGAACCTAGTTTCATGTGTTAGGGATCTTGATTGTAATGAGTTGGGATTGTGATACTGTTTGGTTTTAATCGAATGATGGATGATTCATTGAATCAATTGAAGTCTGATAATCTTTTCTTGATTTCTGCTGCAACCTGAGATAGATAGAATCTGATTAGGTTGTTAGAGTTTCACCAATCGGTAGTGGTAGATTGGTTATACGAGAGTTAATCAATCTACTGCTTTGTACTGGAACTCAATTCCAGTAGTGGAGTTCTGTGCTTATTGCCTCAGCAGTCTATCCCGGTGAAGGTTAGTCGCCTGCCGGCTAGCCTGCCTGAGAGGGCTTGGTCAGCTTAAGAGATTCCAAGCTACTGTCGGATCTTCCGCAGTTTAATCAACAGTAAATCAACCCAGGGTAATTACAACTGAGACCTGACTAAGGAGCTAGGGGGACTCATTCCCGAGTGACTCTTCCTTTTCTTTAGAAAACCAAACCATTTCCTGCTTTCTTACTGCTTTTAGTTAAAACCACAATCAATCGACTTAGTTTGCTAGATAACAAATATACACGGAGTAGGTAGTAGATCTAGACCCCGAGTTGACAATTAGAGCTTGCCTGTTACTGCATTTCCGGACTGCGATTACACTTGGTCGCAGTTTGGTGTTGTGTTCTAGCGTGTCAAGTTTTTGGCGCCGTTGCCGGGGACTTTCTAGATTATTAGGAAAGGCAGAAGTTTGTTACTTTAGCATTTTTCTTTTCTTTTCCACCCTTGCTTTTCACATGGGTGTTCTGTTTTTGTTGGTGCAGATCTGAAACATGGATTCTCATGGCTTCTCCAATCATTGGGGGTATCCACCACCACCCGAGTGGTATTACCCAGAGACTTCCTGGAGAAACCAAGGAGGAGAAGACTATGGAGTTGGGTTTCAGTACCAACCCCCCTACTACGAAGAACAATCAGACCCCTGGGTATTTCAAGAAAAAATATCCTTATCAAGAAGAATTCCTCCCACAACCAGAAGGGCCATCAGATCTTGAGCTAGCCACAACCTTCACGGGCCATCCGACAGAGCCATGCTACACTCCACAGCCATATCCAAATTATCACTTGAGGCTTCTCGTGGAGCAGATTGCTCGAGTACCTAAGAGATCCTTTCCCGAGTTGGATCCTCATGTTCAGGCTATTGCCCAAACTGACTTCTCCTTTCCCCGTGAAACAGAGGAGACCCTTTGGAGCATAAAGAAGCACATAGAGGTCATTGAGAAAGCTTGTGCACAGTTTTCTCAAGACAACCATTATGTTACAATACAAGCAGAGAAGGAGGAAGAAGAAGTCAATCATGAGGATGTCGTGGAGCATACAGAGTTTTTCACAAAGAGCTCCTGTGATGATCATGATCAGCAATGTCCTGTTGTAGCCGACCATACCTTTCCGCATCCCACACCAAGCGCTAAAGAGGCGGGCATGAGTGAGGAGATGCAAGCTGATCTTATTGAAAAGATTGCATGGCGACTTGCTCTCCAATCCGTGCTAGAAGAAGAAGAGCGAGAAAGGATGAGGAAAGAAGTTGTGGAGGATGACAGAAGTGAATTAGAGGTACTTCTTGATCTTTTCCAAGGAGAGAGACCACATTTTGAAGAAGGAAGGGGGGTTGAAGAAGCGAGTGGTGTCCAGGCTGAGGATGAAGTTGAGGTGGAAGAGGCTTGCACCGGCCCTATAATACAAGTAATATAACCACCAAACTTTGAGGAACTGCTTAGCAAGGACCCATTTGCAGTGT